CTCCATTAGATAGTAGCTATCCGGGGGAGTTACCAGATACTAATAGTAAATATTGCTAGAGATACAATATGAAATTTTGCACTGGTACTTATTGTATCTGTGGTAGAAAGAAGAGAAGTTGCCAACCAGGAGCAGCCTTTTACTGAGAATGGAGACCTTAGTAGTTTCTGAGATTGGCAGATCAGAACTGGGTGTTTTGACATATAGATGCAAGTGCAGAAAAGAATAGCACTGTTGTGATTCTGTTGTGCGTGTCCATTTGGCAGAACTGTGAGTCATCAGTGGTGTTAACCTACTATGTCAGGGCTTCCTGATGCATGGTAGGGTGTATAACCAAATATTAAGTAGACTATCATGGACATCTTAAAATTAAACTGTATAATCATGCTCATGGGATGTTCATACAGTACTGTTGTAGGAACTAATGAAAGAAAAGGCAAGACTGCTTAGAAACAGAATGACATTTTATTTGATTTCCTAAGCAAGTAAAGAATCAATCACTATATTCATATCACATATTAATTCTCATCAGGGCCAAGATATATGTGCCCAAGTGCTCTGGCCAAGGTCACCTGCATCTGACATGGAAGGCAAGGTTTGCCAGCTGTTGGGTCCTCAGTGTGCCTTCTGGGTTCCTCTTAAGTCCCAAGGTCAGCTTGTTCTTGGACAGACATCTGAAATCATTTAGGAGTTGAAAGATACTGTAGTGTGGTAATTTGCCTCCAAATCTTATTTACTTCTTATCTTTATATTAGACAACATTGCTGATGAGCATCTTTCATTTTCTTGTTTGGGATTGTAACTTGTCCTCCTCGTGGGATAAAAGGAACAGCCCATGAGATGTGCTGCATCCCCTCTGCTGCTGTTCTGTTGTCAGGCTACCAACAAGTCATCTTTTCTGTGGCACATGAGAGCACAAGCAACTGTTTCTCAGCTCTCACCAGCTTGATTGTTGTTAATCACATCCTTGGAAATCAGTGCATGCCATTCCTCTAACTCTTGCTCTCGTGCTTCTGATGTTTTTACACACGTGCAAGCTGCCAGGTGGTATGCTCAGTGTGTTTGTCATACCTTCTCAGTGTTGACGCTTGCCAAGCACAAGGGTAAGCAAACACAAGTAGGGAGATACTTGACTAGCTGACATCTGGTCCTGGCATCCTGAGCTCAGAAAAACAACATAATTCTGCTTTTTTAGCAATAAGGGAACATCAACTGTTGTGTAATCCTGGCCAGATAAACATAATTTCCTGTCAGTATCCTTGAAGAACCTTGGTCAAGCAAAAAAAAAACTGGTGAGGAAAATCGCATTTATCTGGTGCTACCTCTCATTTAAAGTCCCTCCATGTGACTGCGTTGTCTCCATTATCTCTGATTACACAGTTTATAGGGGCATTACCCATGCTAGAGTTGCATAGTCAGGCTAGATGTAATAGCGAATTATTTTCACAACACCTTGCCAGAATTATTCATGCAATCATTTCACTGTCATGAAACTGAATCAACAAATGCACACATTTTGTAAAGCTTATTGCAAAATAATTATGATATGGTTACCCAGGATTTCTCTCAGTTATTTTCTTCCCCTCATTCTGTGTTCTGGTGACCCCAGAAGAACCCTGAACATCTTACGCTCCTCTGGTCATTCCTAATTGTACAGTTGGCTTTAAAGCAAATTTAAAGCTAAAGTAGATTGGTCTGTTCATGAGCAGACCTGAGCACTTCAGAAAACTTAATAATTAGTAATATTACTAAAATATTATTTTTTCAAATTTGTTCTTGGACCTTTTTTGTTGATGGAAAAAGACTAACTTAGGATCAAGGCAATTCAGGAAGCAGTAACATCCCACAGTTACAGTCTGGGACAGATTGCAGCAGTCAGGAGCGGAGACCTGCTCAGGCTGGTGAAGAGCATTGGAGGTGGTTAAACCTGACTGTGATTTTGGCTAACCATAACTTGTCATGGGCACATACAGTTCCCATCTGCTTAAAGTACCAACACACAAAACCACAAGTCTCGGGGACCAACTGCCCAGTCCATCTTCAAGCACTTATCTAACAGTCTTGGAAATAACATAGGAAATAACACAGAAATTGCTCGTGGTTCCTACATTAAGAAAGATACGTGTCCCCAAGAGAATGAATTAAATCTTCTCAGAAGATTCACATTAAGCCTGAATCTTCTCAGAAATGCCAGTGACTGCAGATGATGTTTTTCAGGCTTGCTGTTAAGGATCAAAACAACATGAAAAGGCAGTGCACCATCTGACATGACTTGATGAAACCCTGACTGGATTGACTGGATGACTGGATTAATCCCAGTAAAATTTAGTTTCTAAATAACACCACAGAGCAGTCAGTTGCTTAAATTAGATATCAAAACAATCCTAGGATTACTTACAAAAGTGCATCTCCATTTCAAGCCTGTGCCTCTGTAATCTTTAAGGTGGAATGGCTTCATGAAACACCTTCTGTATGGACACAGCTGAGCACATGAGCCTGCTGCTTTTTTCACATTGATTGTGATGATGATAGAAAATTACAGGCCATAAAATATGGTGCAATTACTGTATTTTGAGTGGGATGTAACACAGTTTTAAGCCTGTCCTGCCTCTCATGCCAAACATGAACAGATCAAAAATTGTTCTGTCTGAAAACATCTGGAAGAAGGTTAAGTCAGTGGCTACATAACCAATATCCTTCACATGTGCAGGTGTATGGCTGAGGTTTGGTCACACATGGAGGATAAACAATCTCAAGACATTCACATGGGGAGCAAGGTGCCTGAATGTCCTTGTTCTTGTGAGAGAAAACTCCAGCTCCAAAACAATAGGCTTGAGATGAGCAAGGACTCAGTCCCTGCAAGACCAGCACAGCTCTCCAGAGAACCCTTCTATTGACTGAGGCAATTTGAGATGACAGAACATCATAATATTCATGTTGCAAGCACCTTGCTTATTCGCTGTTTTCTTTTCTTTCAAAATGCACCGGCTTAGCAATTGCTGAACCTTTAACAAACAAGTACCAGTTCCATCTGGAACTTTCAGACCCTGGTTTGGGAAGAATTTCACCAGAACACTCCACCATGGGAATGGACTGAAACAGTGCAATATGAACTTTGTTTTGGATGAATACAGAATTGAAAGAAACATTGAAGAACGAACAGAATGAAAAAGAGCCGAAACACTGCAATTCTTAGGAACTTTCAGACTTAAAAATTTAATAATTTTAAATTAAAATATATAAGTTGCTATTCAAAAGTCTGGGTGTTTATGTGCAAGGACAGGAAACTCATGTGTTTGCATGCTCATTCATTGCATGAACACAATGCATTACTGGAGGAATGCTGCTTTAAGGCAAAGCCCTGCACTAAATAACTAATTACACAGAAAGGGGTGTCATTACAAAAATAAAAAGGGAGGTAGCTAATCACTTTAGCTCCCTCCAGTACCTAAAGGGGCCTACAGGAAACCTTGAGAGGGGATCTATCAGGGAGTGTAATGATGGGATAAGGGGTAACAGCTTTGAACTAAGAATGTGGAGATTTAGGTTAGATATGAGGAAGAAAAACTTTACTCAGAGGATGGTGAGGCTCTGGAACAGGCTGCCCAGAAAAGTTGTGGATGCTCCATCCTTGGAGGGTCTCAAGGCCAGCCTAGATGTGGTCCTGGGCAACCTGGTCAGGTGGGAGATATCCCTGCCCGTGGCAGGATTTGTAGCTAGGTATTCAGTAGTGTCCTTCAAGCCAAACCATTCAATGGTTCTATTAATCTATAGATCATATGTAACCTATAGCTTGATTCCTACACCCCAAGAACACCTCGGCCAGTTCTGTTTGTTCTGCAGTCAGTTCTAGCTCTAAGGATAGAAAGTGAAGATCTTCACACTTTTGATGATTTCCTTATACTCTAACAGACTCTGCTGCAGCTTGCCAAAAGCAATGTGCATCAGCAGCCCCATTCCACCCCTTCTAGATACTTGGGTGAAGGCATGCTGCTTGGACCCACAGTTTGTCTTTGGAGAGTGGCCATCTCATGCTCCTTACCCTTTCTAAACCTCCAGACTGCCTCCTGCAACCTGCCTCGTCCCTCATCCTCATACAGCTATGCTGAAATCTCCATGTTGCTCCAGAGGTTTAAGGGAGTACAATCACACAGAGCCCAGAGGACCCTATCTTACTTTATTACTAATTTTCATACGTGTATTTGGAAAAAGGGCCTTATCCTTTGCCCTGCTTGCTCCTAGACATATTTTAAGAGTAAATTACGCAAACTGGCAAATTCACAGTTCCTCCCCTAATCAGTATCTTACTACAAAGTGTAATCCAGAAGCTGAAAACAGAGTTAGACTTATTATAGGCTTCCACCAGACTCTTCTCTCTTACACACAAGGAAGACAAAAGCATTTCCTGAAACTCAGCAAAACTGAATTTTCCACCTGAGTTTGTACCTTGGGAATAGTACTTAAAAGGATGCAAAGTGGTCTTTCTTGGTAAATCTTGAAAACCCTGTTACACATTATCAAGTTTAGGCTTATCTACATCAGCATCTGCCAGCTCTTGTAATCATCACCGGCCAGATAGCTTCTAGGTACAGTGATCCCAACTGGTGAAACATCAGCATCCAGTATAGAGCAGAGCTACTGCGCTGCTGTTTGTAGCTGGGAACGCCCAGAGCCCACAGCACTGGTCAAGAGCTCCACGGAAATTGCTTCTGTCTTGAAATCCATGAGCATGAAAGGCTCAGAGCCCAAGGTCCATGCCCAACTCCTTCAAGGACCTCCACCTACTTAATTAACTTAAATCCTACACAATTCTATGATCATTGGATTGGCCAATTTTCCTCACTTGCCAGACTGATATAAACCCACAAGTGCAGCACCGCAATGAGCCCTTCCCCGTTTCCCTACCCCCCTCGCCCCCCTTTTTTTTTCACATGAAGAAGGTAAAGGAGAGAATGCCCAAAGGTAAAGGAGAAATCAGAATTACTGCGACTATCCCACCTCTAGGCGTTCTTCTTCATCAGTTCAAGAATTTCTTTGTATATTTGTTCATATACCTGCATACCCCAAAGGAAATCAAAGTGGACAAATTCAGGAATGTACTTTTTGTACGCCACATTGGTTATACGAGGCAGTGTTATATTTACATCTTCAGGGGCAGAAATCCAGTCCTTGCCACCAAACCATGCAGCAAGTGGTGCTTTCATATTTTCTAGCTCATAGAAGGGCGGTGTGCTCTGGAAAATGAATAACATTGCCTAAGGTCTGGGAAGTCACAGGCAGATTGAAAATTCAAAGTACTCTTGATTGCTGCTTAGGATTTCCTTTCTCTCTCAATAAATGCATGTCAGTGGAGGTCCTAACTGTGCCTTGAACTGTCATACTTCTTACCAGAGTTTTGAGAAATCATCAGTGAATGGCATTGTTCAACCCCCTAGTGTAAGAAAGGTACAATCCCATATAATCATACAAGGTAAAGCCCATAAAATTAGGTCTCAGTCACAGCAATAATTACATTTGAATTTTTGTTTTGTTTTGTTTTCTTAAACTGACAAATGAGAATAGATTTCTCTTACCTGGTTGTAGTGAAGCATGTTGTCACTTCCATAATCATAATATTTGAATTCCCCTGTTTGATAGAGCTAGAAGAGGAAGAGAGCTATGTTAATTTTCCATACATTACACGGGACCACAAGAGAAACAAAAGCGGGTGAGGAAGGATAACTGGTAGCTTCAAACATCAGTGAGAGGCTATTTGTGATTGCTTATTCTGTTAAGAGCATGAAAGAACAGAAGCAGAACAACACTTGTGAAACTGACATAAATCAAATTTCCATCTTGCCTCAGGGTGGACAGCACGACTTGGGGAGGAGGCTTGTCTTTTGGGACACAGAAGCCACAGAAATGCACAGTTCACCTAGCTTACATCCATTACCTAGGGAAAGTAATGAAGCATTTTATCTGAGTATCGAGAAGAGATTCTTGGCAGCTTAGAGAGAAGAATGTGAGCCCTGGTTGCTCTCATTCAACAGGAAGAAATATTACCTGGCGCCAATGTAACATGTTTTTTAGGGATGTTGAATCAGGGTAGTGGGACAGGTAGACATCTATGCGGCTCTGCAAGAAACCGTTGGAGACATTTATTCTCTGTGCAGAGGGAAATCTCATGAGGAATACATCTGACCCAGTCCTGTAGCCACACAACAAGTCTATTACACAGGCTAGCTGGGGCTCTTATTTGCACAAAGTGCTTTGTCTTATCTCTGTGAAGGCACAACTCAACCCTGTGCCGTGCAAACCCACACTGCAGGCAGCAGAATGAAGTGTGCTACAGAGCTCCCTTCAGTGAGCCTAGCAACTTTCATGGGATGTCAGGTCACATTGCAAGTCTACGTGGTTTCAAATCAAAGTAAAAATCTGACTCTTGTAATCCAGATCCTGTTGCAAAGACAGTGTGCAACACATCACAGATTTCTCCTTGTTATTTCTCAAGCACTCCCTGCTTGGGAAATTGAGGAATAACATCAACACTTTCCTTGAGAAATAATAGACCAGCTCCCACCCCAACTCTGTTCTGGGGATCTGTGGTGCGAGTGGCCAGCACCACAGTCTGTTCCATATCTAAAAGCTGATAAGAACAGGACAATGTTCTTTTCATGACTGCACATCCACACAACAACAGAAAACTGGATCACTTCAGAAGTAATCTGGAGGATACGTACCACGTTTAAGCTGTTGGTAAACCCACCAGGCAAGTACAGGACCAAGGAGCAGAAGCTTTTGAAGAATGTGTAGCTGCACAAACGTGATGTCACTTGCCTCAGGATCTCATCCTTATCAAAGACCACTGTGCGTCCTAAGATGAGCTGTGAAGTTCAAAGGCATCGATTGTTGTAGTTTACAATGCTTCGGCAGCACTTAGAGGAAAGTTTGCAGAGCCAGGACAGCACTCATGATGGAGATGATGGAAACCAGCACCCTTGCATTGTGCAGCTGACCCTGGTCAGGAAACCTAAGAACGAGGTTTTGTCTATGGAACTAGAGGAGTGCCAAGGGAGGACCCACCTTAATCAGACCCTCGGGAAGATCAAACACTCTGACCAAGGGTGACTTCATATTTGAGCTTGTGGTGATAGGAGCCAGGGCAAAAAACATCTTAATTTTGCGATCCAGCTCAGGAATGGAAGAAAATGCAATGAAACCTGTAGGAGTGAGAAAAAATTAGACCCTGCCCTGCTACTTATGCATGAGTTTTGACTTAAGAATTAGACCCTGCCCTGCTATTTATGCATGATTTTTGACTTGAGATGCCTGTGTCCATTGTAAGAACCCCTGGAGCATGCTGATATCCTGGAACATGCAGATATGAGGGCATGTTGGTGTCCCGACTGGGACCCTTTACTGCTGGTACATTTCAGCTCCCAGCTTGACTGTTGAGTCCATCTGCATCTCCCACAGCCCCTTCTTGAGGCTCTGACAGTGGTGGGATACATCAAAAGTCATTGTCACAACCAGTTTTGGACCACCAATGCTCAAAATTTTTCCATTAATGCAAATTTTTACCCACTCACATCCAACTTAAATCCAGTGCCCTTGTAAGTACCTGTGGTCGTGCCTTGAGAGTAAGCCACGTAGTATAACTGCTCCTGTCCTGTTTTCTGCAGAATATAGTTGATTGTTGCTGGAAGATCATACATGGCCATCTCATGAAAGCTGCAGTGGAGACATAAGCAAATTACTGTTGCTGATCTTGAACACTGAGGGTGACAGGCATGTGATAACTTTTGCAAAGTGGCATTCCCACCAGCATGTTTGCTGGATCTGTGCTACTACTGCTGAGTGGCAATGTTAATTTGCTATTTGTTCCCATTAAACAGTAGTACATTTACTCTGGAAAGTATCATCTGCTCTTATCACTTGGAGGAGCCCCAGAAGCTCTTCAGACATTTTGGAGCAGTCATTCATTTGCAGGAAAAGGCTAAAAGAGCTGTGGGTACAATTGACAGGCTGTGTTAGGGAAAGGCTATTCGGAGATCCGGCTAGGGCTGGGGCAGACACAGGCACTCCGATTGGATCTTGGTGATAGAGCCACTTCTCCAGCTTAGGGAAACTGCAGGACCAGGATCAGAGCCTAACAGAAAGCACTGGATCCCGTCCACCTTTCCAAAAGCACTCCCAGGAAGATCTAGTGACATTTCTGTAGCTTCAATTAAAATACCTGTAAGATGAATATTTCTCACTGTGAAATTCAAATTCTTTGTGCTTTCGTGACCAGCTGTTCCCCCTGCTGTTTCCTATCCAGACATCATAGCCAGCATCTGCAAGGATGAAGCCCAGGCTTCTGTTGGGCAGGTTTGTAACCCAGTTACTGCCCTCCAACACCAGGCCATGCTGCAGGAGCACTGCAGGTTTGGGAGCTGAAAGGAGAAGCAAAAGATTGTTTTCTCCAGCTGCTAACATAAGTCACCATTTACACTTCAGACAATTTTTTGGCACCACCCCGATGGAGAATTGACTATGGTGCACAGCACAGTCCCATCACAAGAGACATAGGTACTGGGGGGACCAAGAGAATCTCCACCCATTTCTGCTTGCCATATGGCAGATCCCAGATCCCAACTAAGAACTTTTAGACGAAGGGTCAAAAAAGCCTGAACTGCTATAGAGTAGAAGAGCGTATAGAAAAATTTAGTTTGGAAAGGACCTCTTTGCTCCAACCCCTGGTGAAAAGGGGTAACTTTTTTTTGAACTTAAGACTGCAGGTCTTATAAGACCTGCATTTCTGCCCTGGGCAGCTGAGGACCTGAATGGACATCTAGTTGCTTTTTATACTTCCTTGTCAAGTTCATATTCCAATTCTCCCATTTTCCCAGGAGAGTGACAGCCTGCCAAGACTGGGACATTACCCTCTCCACTTTGAAACAGTGGTGCAAGTGATGCAAGTTATGGCAAGAAAACCATCAAAATGGTGAGACAGCATCAGATTGGATATTGATTTATTATGGCTAATAAATGACTCGTAATTGCTCCACCAGGAATACCTTTACCCAGTACATGGGTCCATAATCCAGCTTCCTTTGTGCCTCACATCATGGATTTGGCTGGCTTTGAAAGTTTGAGGTGAGATTTCTTTCTTAATTTTCCTTATCATTCTATTCCTCTTTGCAGTAGTTCCCACAGGACCAACAAAGTTGGCATGGTTGACATCTGCATTTCTTACTCTCTTGAAGGCCATCTCTGCAGGGATGCTTCGCTGAGGACCCAGCCAATGGTGAAGAAGCCCTGCTCCTGGCCTCCTCCAACCAAGGAATGTTTTTGGGGCCCCAGGGCCCAGCAGACCTTCTTGTGGCACTTACGGTGGCAGAACATGCTGGATCCCGGTGTTTCTGCTTCATGGGAGGCACTCATGCTTCCTGAGTTGTCTTTGCCATGAGGAATCCTCTGTAAGGTAAGGTAATAGCCATCTTCTGTCACCACTTCATGCTCTTCATAGGGGTACCCGTGGTAGTGAACAATTTCACCCTACAGGAAGGAAATGACAACATTGGACAGGTCCTCAGGGGGTCTCCATCCCAGAGCAGAGCCACACCAAGCCATGGATGCCCTGAGGCAAAATACTGTTGTCAGCAGGGGATTGGAATAGTGACCTCCCAGTGTCCCTTCCACCCACACTGTGTAAACACCATGACTTCAGTGAAAACCTTTGGCAGCAGCAAGTTTCTCAAACTCCCTGAACAGGTCTGGTAAAGAAGGGCCCACAACTGACTTTCATTTTGCAATCAGTGCTTGTGAAGACTCAGGCAGCAACAAGAGCAAAGTTCCAAGCCTGGACCAAACCTGTTCACCTAGCTGAGCTCCTTAAAAAGTCTGCTGTAAATCTCAGTGTACATATGCAGTGTAGACAAAAGCTTTCATAAACCCCTGTCTCAAACCCTGGTAAAGGTGTACATGCAGAGACCACAGGTCTTACTTAGGCCATGACAGTAAGTAACTTGCATGCCTGAGATTTGGGCTTTTTAGGAGAACGGATAACAGCAAGAAGAGAGCAGAGGGAAGTCAAGACTTACAACGTCCATAGACACTTCAGGGCTTGCACTGGAACTTTCAGTAATACAGATTAAGTAAGTAATGGCGATGAACAGCCACATCATGGTTCTCTGCAAAATATCATCAACATGGCAAACAGGCAAGACATTGATTTCACTGACATAGAAGATAGGGATGGCATTTGACAAGTGCTATACTTTTGTTAGGACATTAATACAATCCCTAGACAGATAATTTTCAAGTTGAAATTCTCCAAATTGTTCTAAAAAGTTTGCTTATCTTGAGCAACCTTGAATAATGCCAGAGTCTAAACTACATCTCATTTTAACCACAAGTTCTAAGTCAGATCCTTTCATTTAGAAAAATAACTTACATGCACATTCACATCTGATTATACATCTTCACCCACTGGAGAAAATCTGGTCTTTGAGGGGACTCCTCATTTTAACTGATGTTTTGGATAGTCAGAAGAATAGATTATTTGCTAGTTGATCCAGTCAAAAGTAAATCACCCACTTCTAAATTTCAGGACAAGAGAGGCTTCGTTTATAACATAAACTTTTTGTTAGGTGATTGTTAGAGTTGAAGGTAGGATTTTAGAGACTAGGACACACTGGATTTGCTCTGGTTTCAAAATAGAATGTTGCAGGTTTTTTAAGTCTTGGAAAAAGAGCCGTGTCAAGCACCAGCCAAACGCACGGGTGGATTGGCATTGGCATGCCCATATGTTGCATCCATCCCACTTGCAAAATATCTTCTTGGCCACAGATAGCAGTTTGCACTGCTCTCATTTCTTGTATCAAAAAGCATAGCAAGGGTGGACAGAAAGAATTTCTGGGATGCAACATCACAGGCATGCTATGCAAATTCAAGAGAAGAGCCTGGCGTGGGATGACCATCCAGGGAAAACATTCCTTTTGTAAAGTTAAACCCAAAGAACACTCCTCTCAGCAGCCCCTGGTGAACCCCAAAAGGATTAGCAAAGAGAAACCCCACTCACCAGCATGTTCTTGACCCCAAGACATCAAAACAGGGAGCATTACCTGTTGGGTCAGCTTCAGTAGGATGGATTCCTTCTTTCCTCAGGTCCACTCTTGCCAAGCTGTTATCCCCTCTGCTCTGTGCACCCAGGAGTGCCACGGGTCACTTCTCCCCTAATCCTTTCTTCCACTAGGGTGTAATTTACCTGAGGGCTGGAATCACTCTGGAATGAGAAACCCCTCTGACATGGGCTTGTGTGGGAATATTTTTGGGGTGTTGAAGAACAGGCAAGAATTGTAACAAATTGGTTATTCCCATCTGAAGCAGCACAGCATAATCCAGTGTTGCCTGTGACCTCAGTGGAGCCAGTAGGTTGCCCTCAGACCACTCTCCACCTGCATTGGCTTGGATCTGCTGTATGGAGAGGGAAGAGACTGGGATGAAGCTGCCCTCTGCTCCCACCTGTATGTTCACACTGGCTGAAGACACTCTTTGTAGAGACAGCGTGGGCTGCGGGTGGATTTTTGGCAGCACTGCCTTCCAAGATGCCTCCACTCCTCACCAAGCTGCCCACACACCTGCACGTTGCAGCAAACTGGCTTTCAGGGAGCAGCACACGCTGGGGCTTCATCTGACTCCATTCCCTCTCCTGTTGTTGATACTTGACAGGTCTGGCCAAGCAACTCTTGCTAAAGGGCAGGCATAAGCTCTTTGGGAAGCCTAAGTATCAAGCTCACCTCGATCCTGAGCTGTAAGTACTGCTTTTCACCACAGAGGAGCTGAGGCAGAACCAGGAGCCCTCCCAGCCTCACCACGAATAGTGAGTCAGATCCACGTCTGATTGGTCTCTGTAGGGAAAGGAGGAAAAGCAGAAAAACAGGATCAAGAATGTGAGGGTGAGAAACCACGCCTCCTGCCAACCAGCAGCTGTCAAGATGAGATACAGCTCACCTTCCTTTTGGGGAGGGGCCATCAGAGAGACTCCTGGCCTGGCTACAGGCTCTTCTGGCCCAGCTATGGGCGCTCCTGAGGTAGCTATGGCCTCTCCTGGTCCCTCTCACCACGTATGGAGCTGTATTAATTCCCATACTAGTTGAGCCTGATGGAAGGAGAGCAGAGGAGTTAAACCTTGTGCTCCCAGCATTTTCCAGCCCATGGCACACAGTCTGGATGCACTCTTGCTGTGGGATGGGGACTTTCCAGAGATGATCCAGTACATCTGCCAAGGCTGCTGCACTACGAGGCAGAACATTTTCCCCAACCCCTCTGTCCCGTTCCCTGCCCATATCTCACTGCCAGCACTGCAGCCCCACAAATAAATCCTGATCCCCCTAAAGCACTGATAACATAGGGCTGGAAAGCCTCCAGAATGACCCCAACAAGCCAAGAATTATTGCATGGGCTCTTAGGGCATGAACGAGCCCATAAAATCAGCTACAGAGATCTCCTGAAGCATCCGCATCAGCTTGCTCAGAGGCTTATCTGCCATCTGCTGAAATAAGACTGCGTGCTGCAGCCTGTAGTGGATAGGACATCTAGGCTGCATTTGCATATCCAGTCATCCATAGCATTGCAGAAGGGGTTTCTATCCAGCAACTGCAGCTTCAACCTGACACACTTGCTGATATTTTTATTCTTGTCTTCTCCTTTCTCCTAAACAAACAAACAAACAAACAAACATAAAAAAAACAACAAACTTTTTTCCTTATTTTTCCTGTTGTTTGCATTTGTTACTGGATAAATGTTATATTTTTCATACCTGTCCAAAACAACAATTAAAAATAAATCCTCTACAAAATCAAGATAAAATAAATAACTCTAAACTTAAAAGCCAAGCTCATCTCATAGATTGCAAAATATATCTTGTTTTCCTCTTACAACAATCAATGCCTACCAAAAGGAAGAGAAAGAAGGGGCTTAGTTTGAAGGCATCCACAAATCAAACAGTTGGACTGCTTCATAATCACTGGAACATATCAGATCCCTGCAGGACTGGTGTGAATTGGTGCAAATGTCTTGCACATATGGGTTTTATCTGCCCATAGTGCAGGGGGACATGGCTTCTGTCTGGCTGTGAACCAGCAAAGAGCCACTGAACTAATAGGAAAAACTCCTTTACCTCATGGACACTCAGGGCTCAGCAAAAGCTGTTTCTGGCTGTCAGCTGCCTTGCTGGTAGCCACTAGGGCATAAGGAAAGTTTGAACTGGTTTGAGTTCTGAAATCGAGTTCTCAAAGATTTTAAGATGTGTACATTCTTTGAACTTCAGTTTTCCAAAGATTTTTTTTCAAAGCTTTGAAGCTGTCGTTGCCATTTAAAAGCATGCTTTGAATGCATTTTTTTTTGAAAAGATATACAACCTTTGGAAAAGAAGCTAAAGCCAGCTTCTCTCTTTTGACAAAAACCAAATCACATCAAGTTTACAGCAATGTTTGCAAAGCCTTCTGCTCCTGGAAGGGCTTTCTGCAGGGCCACCAACACCAGGAGCCAGCGTAGAGGCAGGAGACTTTGAGAAGGAAGGCCACCAAGCACCCTCTCTGCTCACAGACTTGCAAGGTCCAAAAGTGCTCAAAGGCATTTTAGTTGCTCTTTCCTAAATTGCTCAGAACTACTTGCTCTTTGGCCAGCCGCTATCTGGTCACATAAACGCAGAAGTCTTGGACTGAGCATTCTGGGACAGTGATGTTCTAAAGAAAAGGCATGTTCTGGACAGCAGGGGGTGCTGTGAAAACACTTGAGAGAGAAACTCGAAAATGGTCACCCCACATCTGTAGCCCACAACAGGGCTCAGGTGAGCTCAGCAGGTGGAGGTGGTGATGAAGGCCAGGGTACAGGGCATTCGTTCCCCGGTACCACCTGTAGTTTGGCTGTGCATCTCTCAGAAAGTGGAGGAGACACAGTACTGTGGAAGCGAGAAGTAAGTCTCTTCGTAGTTCCCTTCACGTGTTCTAGTTGGTAATGAAGCTCACTGCTGCTTCTTTTAGCCTATCACTATCTAACTGTATAAAAAAATTATTTTCCCTCCTGTTTATAATTTTCCTTTAAATATCGGAAGGTTGTAATGAGGTCTCACTGGAGTCTCTCTTCTCCAAGCTGAACAAACCCAGGTCTGCCAGCCTTTATTCATGGGGGAGGTGCTCCAGCCCTCTGGCCATCTTAGTGAATTTCCTCTGGACCCTGTGCTGGGGGCCCCGGACTTGGATACAGTACTCCAGACAAGACCTCGCAGGGGTAGAGAGGGATAATCCCGTCCCTTGCTTTGCTGGCCACACTTCTGATGGCACCCAGGATACAGTTGTCTGTGTGGGCTGCAAGCACACACTGCTGGCTCATGTTAAGTTTTTCATCAGCCAGGACCCATAGGTCCTTCTCAACAGGGCTGTTTTCAATGAGTTCTTCTCCCAGTCCATACGCATACGCAGGATTGGCTGCCCCAAGAGTAACGCTTTGCACTAGGCTTTGTTGAACCTCATTAAGTTTATATGAGCCCACCTTTCAAGTTTGCCAAATGCCCTTCTGATGGCATCTCTTCCTTCTCTCCTATCAACTTGACAGGAGTTGTGCTACTCAGCTTGATATTTGAGATATGTGAGGAGCGGCTGAGGTCCCTGAGTCTGCTTGGCCCAATGCAGAGCAGGCTGAGGGGAGGCCTCGTGGTAGCCGTTGCAGGCTCAGTGTTGTGAAAAGGAGGGGGTAAGGCTTTGAGGTGTGGCTGGATTAGTATTAGATCATCAAACCATGTTGGTGGAGTAGTGGAAACAATGTTAAGGGCTCTGGAGGCTGGAGGAGAGATCCACGGGCATCACAAGAGGACCAGTCTCAACATGATCTTGGCTGTGCCATGGATGGAGACCGGGGAGAGAGGTGGGACAGAGGCAGCTTTCTTATGCCTGAAGGTGCCCAGCACTACTAGCTATTTGATACCAACTTTGATACCAGCTCCAGGGTTCCAAGAGATCTTTCCTAATGAGCAGCATGCCAAGGACACTTGTTCCTGTAGGTGCTTTCCAGCATCTCATCCAAGTGCTGACCTGTCTTAGCTGTCCAGCCCCTTCTTGAGTGTCACTCTTGTTGGTCTTAATACAAAAGAAGGCCGCATCCTTTGGACCTGGTGCTAGAGAATCTTATTAAAATAGATGGGTTGTAATGGGCCCTCACTGGACCAGTCTCTAGTGAAAGGGATCTCCCTGCCCTACACAGGCTTCTGGAGACTTCTGAAACTTTGGAAAGAAATGTTAAGATGAGCTCTTGTGAGGCTTTATGATGAGCCAGCATGGGAATGGGGCCAAGGGCAGAAGACATGGAATTCAAGAGTGATACCATCCATGAATCAAATGTAGGTCTCAGCAGACATGGGCACCTTAGGCTGCCCTGCAGGTTTTGGGGAGCTGTGAGGAATGATCACCACTTTTGAATGACCTGAAACACTATCAGATATTGATGAGTGTGCAGAGCCCCACCAGACACACACAGTATTACTCAGATTGTATGCTTGAAGGAAGAAATTCCTGCAGTCTATGGAGAGAGAAGACAAAATGTAATGTTTTATCTGCACAGTCACTGACAGGTGCAGACGATCTCAGGAGAAAAGGCAAATGGGAAACCCATTCACAGGTTCACAGGTAATGCACCTGATCCCTCTACTCTGGCCTCATAGCCCTTCTCTCTTTAGTTTCATTTCTACAGACCGTTCAGAGGAAAAACAGCATCTCTGGTCCTGTCCCCCTGGATAATGTCTGGACAGAACCCTCTGTGCACAGAGATGTCCCCACCTTGCAAAGCTCCTGACACACTCATCTGTGGTGTCCCACCAAAGCTTCTGCTCAGAGGCTTGCTCATCCGTGGTCTTTTGGTCCAGTGACTTGTGGGTCGATCATGACTTGGGGAGTACCTCCTGCTGTGTTTCTGCTGTTCAGCCATCCACAGGTTAGGTGGAACAGACCCCTGTAGGTCTCCAGCTAGTCTCAAAGCAGGACAATTTTCTAGCCAGATTAGGCTACTCCTAATCTTTGCTTTGTCCTGTTCAGTTTTAAGCATCTTCAGAAATTAACATTCCAGCAATCCAGGACCTGTTCCAATGCTTAATTGCATTTACTAAGATTTTCC